GTTCCGAGTAAACCGGTGACACGCTGATCCACTGAGGTGTAACAGTGAGTTTCGTAAAGCGAATCGCATTTGTGGGTGAGTGCCGTTTTGAGCTCGCGCGAGCTACGACGTCTCGCCGCCGTCTTCGTCACCGTCGCCGTCGCGATGCATTCTCCCTTTCTCTTCATCTCGTCATTAGCACGCTGTCTATAGCGTTGCTTACGTCGCTGCTTCGAGGGTGCTCGTTGAAGCACCCTTTGGACTAACCCTTTGTAGCTCGCGCAAAGAGAGCTCGGCAGTGAGTTAGCACGTAGCTACCTCGGGCGCCAATGATACTCATCGCAGCGTCGGAAAAATAGATTCGACGGACCTGCCGGAATGAAAGAAGGATCGAACAAGGTGCGCCGCGCGCCCTCGCGCGAGCGAGCGGGCGAGCGGGCGAGCGGGCGAGCGGAGCGGGGAACCCTGACGAACTGTTTGTTCCCGATCCTCGCGGAGGGTACATTAGCCGATGATAGCAGATGTCGAGAATACGATAATCCCCGCTCTGTATGCGCCCGTATCGCGCGGACGCTTCAGGCCGCTCTGTAAGCGAGGCGCGTGCATACGCTACGATTGACGACGATATTGCGCCGCACGTACCTTTTATGCGCCGTATCTCGTCTCGTTATGGCCACTTATCACTTTAGACGGCGCTCGCCTGCCCGCCCGCCCGCGCCGCCGCCGCCGCCGCCGTGTACGCGCCATTATATTTCATTCGCTTTCGAACGCGAAAATGTCGGCCGGATTGCACGGCTAGTGCTTGCGACTTTGGTCGCGCGGCCGCGGGGTAAAAACAGATTCTTCCGAGCGTAACACGCGTGGCGACGCCGACGGTGTATACGCCGCGCTATATATAAGCGGCGCTGCATAGCCGGTCGACTGGCGACGCGCACATTTTAGATCCCAGGGAGAAGCACGCGAAATCGATAGGGCTTATTTCTGCAGTCCGAAACGTGTCGCGGCGCGCTTTAAAAATATAATAAATTTCAAATATAGTTTCATGACCCCGGTCGCGCGTCCACGCCGCCGTCCAGAGTGGGTCTGTCTCTCCTCTCTCTCTCTCTCTCTCTCTCTCTCTCTCTCTCCCCCTTTTTTGTATTAATATTTCAGTAGTTCGTTAACCTTATTCTTTCGCGCGGCCATTCACGCTCCGCGGGGCGAATGGGAACAACACACGCGGTCGAATAACTCCATTTACTACGTAGGTTAGACTAATTGCGAAATAAATGTCCGCCGTGAATATTACCGCCATGAAAATTCATGCGGAGACTTAACGCGCGTACGCGCCAGTACTTCATCCTATATCGTAATGTGACTTTAAAGTTGTGTGTATATTTATGTCGCGTATGCTCGTAGCTTTCTGCATTAATTACGAAGATTATATCGCCGCCGGTGTAAACCGTTAAATGTACTTCTTCTTGGAATACCGAGTCCACGAAAGAAGCAGAGAGAGATAAGCTAGAAATATATCTGTATCAGTTATCGATCTAATCTCTCTCTCTCTCTCTCTCTCTATCTCGCGCGCGCTCCGGTTTCATATTGTCATCGCGTTATCCGGCCGAAAAATAAAGACGATTGATTCATCTCGAGAAGTTGCGTCACATCCGAAGATATCAGAGAGATCGCCACCGATCGCCGGAACAACGCTGGAGCTTTGATTCTCCAGGGGACAAAAAATTACGCGATAAGCGGCAAAATCGCAAATTCTGCGCGCCTGCCTGGCGCGGCCGCGCACGCTTCAGCATGTTTCAGCGGATCAGGGATTAAAGGAACGGCAGGACGCGGATACGCACGTGTACGCGAAATTGCGTGTACACGTCGCGGATACCCGGCGAATTCCCTCGTGCAGGCATGTCCAATCATTGGCGTAGGAATTAGAGTCTCTCGATGCACATTCCTCCCTCCTCCACCCTCCTTTCCCGTGGTGTCCGTTCACCCCCGGCGCAGCCGCCACTCTCTCCCTGTTGCCCCCTCCCCTCCTCCCCCCTTACACTTGGCTCGCCAAGTTAATGAACAACGTCAACGTCGGCGGCGTCGGTACGCGGCGCGCATACGGATACGTACGTAAAATTCGCTGACGAATCAGTCGCATTTGGATAATTTCGTCATCCCGTCGCGCGGCCGGGACTTTCTGCGTGACGAAACTTTATTCGACCGGGCGATCCCCGCGGGATTCGCAGGCGCGTGCGTTTACGCGAAATCGAATCGTAATCGGATTTCCCGTCCACTCTGACTCCTCGCGGTTTTCCGAGTTTTTAGGAATATCGCGCCGTGCGGGAATATAAAATCCGATTCGTTCGGTGCGTGGCACCGAAATTTTACATGATAAGTGGGAGAATGTCAAGCCGACTCTGTTGAGAAAAAAACCGCGGAAAACCGAGCGTATTCTTAGCGGCACACGAAGCCACGGACTAGCCGCTATCGCGCGCTAGTTCTACGACTCACCACGGGCAGTGCTAAGCCGAGCGTCGTTCTCGCTGATAAATTATCAAATGATATAGAATGATAAGGGGGCTCTCGAACGACTGGGGCCAACTTTTTCTGGAAACTACCTCCTCGAGAAGAACGCTTCCCCGAAGCTAACCGCTAACCGCTAACCCGAAGACCTTCAATCATCCGACATTCCCTCTATCCGTAACGAAAAATTTCTTTGAAGAAAGAAGCAGAAACACCGATTCGCAATATATCCTCTCTTTTTGGGCCTTACGACCTGCCGACGACCCCTGTCTAGGACGAGGTGGCGAAGTCGCAACGCGACTTCCTCCCTTTCTCGAACTGCGGTTCTGTTGCAAGAACCTCTCTTTTTGGGATGAGGTTTGGTGTAACCGCTACGCGATTACACCTCTCTCTTGACTGGCCAGGCCGAAGACCCTCTTATCAGGCGAGAGCGAGGTGGTGAAGTCGCTTCCTCTCTTTCTTGGCTAACAGACCAGCCAGAGACTCCCCTTTTTCTCAGAGAACAGGGTGACAAAGTCGCTACGTGACTTCCTCTCTCTCTCTCTCTCTCTTAATAATTCTGACAATGACCCCCTTCGGCGCGAGGTGACGAATTTTCAACAGGACTTCTACTTTATCTACGACCTTGCCGAACAAACCGCTGCAGTGGCTAAATTTTTTTTCTACCTTGAATCTGACAACTACCACCATCAACCGGGACTCTACGGATGAAGAACAAAGGCTGTTGCAACCAGAATAACACTTTCATCTCTCTATATCTGTTCACCGACAATAAATATACTACAGCTTAATTACATAGACTCTCTAATCGAGACCCCTCGTCGTTGTCGACGTGCTCCCTCGACGATTTTGTCCCTCGCGATATTCCAATGACGGGCGAACGAATCGTGCGCGAGTCAGCTCGCTCTGTCCTTCTCTCGTAAATTCTTCGCCAATCTGTAATTGCGCGGAAGACGAAAAAAGCTTCCGCGCAAATTCTCCGCTATTCTTTCGGAGATTCACTGGTAATTCGGTATCGCTAGCGATCGACCGGCTTTTCGTAGGAGGCCGCACAATTTATTCCGCTCAACACACCATTGTCTCGTATTAAGTCTCCCAAGCGTCCAACGCGAGAGACAGAGAGAGAGAGAGAGAGAGAAAGAGAGAGAGAGAGAGAGAGAGAGAGACAGTCTGTAGCGCAGCGAAATACGAGCATCAAGGGGTTAAACCGTCCCTAACCGACCCAAATAACGATCCCCCCGTTTTTCTTGTTCCAGATTAACGGCGTTGCGGTTACGCCGGCGAGATACCACTAACGACAACAACGACGACGACGTCGCAGCAGCCGCCCCGGCGTCGCCGATGCGGAAGACGACAACGGCATGATCGCTCCGCGGAGGTAGTGGAGTTGAAAATCAGCGCTGCCCCGATTGTCACCTCTCCTCAGTCGTCCGCTCTTCTCCGCTGGTGGTCCCTCCCCTCCCTCCTCTATTTCGTGTTCCTCCGCCCCTGCAAAAGAGAGGATCTACTGGCCCTCATCTTTCGGTCCCCCGTCGATCGTCACTCATACAACCACTGCCCCGTGCGCGACACATCCACGTGCGTGCACCGCCGCGTACGCAGTTGCACGCGTGATCTTACGCAGCAGAATACAGACGCGATTCCGCTCGGGAGAAAAGTTAAGTCCGCGCGCGTTAATACACGAAGGACGACGGCGCTCGCTCCTGCGCTCTCGCGGCACGATCGGCGTGGTGGGGCGGAGATCGCGGGCGCCGTGGTAGGGGGCGCGTGTCACCTGTCGCGACGTCAGTGTGACGACGACCGTCGGCGGTGCGGATCGTCGAGACGCGTGTGCGCGAGCGCTCGCACAGCTGATCCGCGTTGACGCGGGGAAGAAGAGACGCGACGCGACGCGCCGCATCGCGCATCATCGCCGCGCGTGGACGCTGTTACGCGTGAGCGCGAGTGCCGTCTCGATCTTTTCGTGTGTGTGTGCCGTGTACGCGCGCGCGCGCGCGCGCGCGCCCGCGCCCGCGCCCATCGTCACCTCGGTGAGGCCCGAATTCGTCGGTCGTGCGTCGGCGCGCGTGTCTAACGCACGCCGCTCTCGTCCCTCGGACCGTGTGGATGTGCCGTCGCTTGGCCGCCGCGAGGCCGTTCGTCCTCGGCAAAATATGCGTGCGGCCGGCCGCCGGTGGACGACGACGGATCCAGCTAGGAGCGCAAGCACGGCCCACAACGACGAGGTCGCGCCGCACGTGACTGCGGCAGTCGCGCAGATTTCGGCGCAGTGAGTGTTCGGGAGAAGAGAAGAAGAGAGTTCAGCGCGAGTACGTCGTCCGTTCGGTCCGCGTCGGCTAGAGGGAAAGAGTAGGTTAACCTCGCGCGTGCACCACGGTGTTGCGTGGGCGTGTCGTCGTTGTTATTGTTGTTGTTGTTATTGTTGTTATTCTCCTCGTCGTCGTCGCCGTTGTCGTCGTCATCGTCGTCGTCGCCGCCGCCGTCGTCGTCGTCGTCGTCGTCGTCGTCGTCGTCGTCGCCGTCGCCGTCGTCGCCGTCGTCGTCGCCGTCGTCGTCGCCGGCGTCGGCGGCGAGCGTGCTCCATCGCGCGCGTGTGGAGTCCAGTGTGGCGCGGTGTGTTCTTCGTGCATTGTATACCGTGCACGCGTGCTCGCGTGTGCCGTCGAGGAGTCGTCTGATCTCGGCTCGCCGCAAGACTGCGAAACCTGGCACGTACCGAGCGCCGCTGTGACGACACCGCTGCGAGGAGAAGATGAGGCGTGCGAGCGTTGGCCGCGTTGCCTCCGCGATGCATCCGGTGCTGTCCTGCTGGTGCGTCGTCGCGACCGTCACCTTCGCTTTGGCCGCATGGCAGGAGAACGTCAGACCGAAGATGTACGTCCAACTAGGTGAGTGTGACCGTCATTGTCTCTGGTGTTGGTTAGGATTCTCAGATGCTGAACGACTATTTCCTATGACTGTTTCTTTACGCGACGGTTGAAAAATAGGTTTTTGGAGAATTTTACTTAGATCTGAGAGATGGAGGGGTCGCCGTGTAATTGCAAGAAATAAACGCGTGAATTAGGTACCAGCGGAGACAAGTTTAGACATTTTTATCAATTTTCTCAGGTGGCACGTTAAATCTTTTGACCTTATTAATCGCCGATAATCGCTCTCACATTTCTCTCTTGCACCAGTTAAAAAGTATGAATATTGTGATTATAAATTTGTTGAAATTCTGTTGAATTCCGGGAAATTCTGATGTTCCGGGACGGAAGACTTCTTAAATTCCGGGACACGGGACGAACTGGAAAAACTTCCGGGACAATCCTGGAGATCCCGGCCATCTGGCAACCCTAGTGCCGGTGCTGGTTGTCGCGCGAGAGAGTTCCTCTCATTTCGGAGGCTCATTGCGGAGCTCCGCGGACGTTCAAGTGAATACGCGCGCGGATATGCGAATGAGTGTGATGGCGGAGGAGCCCGTGGGCTTTTTCTCACAATGCGCTCTCGGTCTCGAGCTCTGCCGAGCTCGCTTCGTCGTGCGCCCACAACGGGGCTGACGCTGCGCGCTGACAACTGTGCGATGTCGATAAGCGTCTTTCTGACCGACGACTGTGCACCGAGTCGTAATCGGGCTATTAACGGTGGAAATGAAAGTGCGGAGGATTCTCCAGGAGGGAAATTGATACGCGTCTCGCAGAAACGTGTGAGCGGGCCGAGCGACGTGGACGTTCGAGATGAGTTTACCATCCGTCCCTCCTCGTTGCAGCCCCGCCATCTGCTCGATGGCGATCATTTGCACACATTTGTTCGTGAAACTAGCATCCCCGCTGTGCCGTTCGCTTCGATGTCGCGGCGTCTACTTGGTAGATTGAGCGGTAAGCAGCGCACCGCAAGGGTTAAAGGTCCTTCCGCGAACTTCAGCCGCATTCTCTTAGCTTTGCTTACTCGCGTAATGACGGCGAGGTCGCGAGCGAGGTTGCAGGGTCATGCACCTTCCCCCACTAACACGCCGCGCGTGGATGCTCCCTCGGTGCGAGGAAGGGTTGTTTCGTCGCGCGCGACGAGTGCCGCTGACTGTGAGGCTTAATCAGCGGTATAACAGCGGGAGAACTCGTTGCTCCCCTTCGCAACCGGGGTGACCCATGAGAAAAGGAAGATATCGAGTCCGCGGTGATGGTGATTAAAACGTGAGTGACGCAACGCTGTGCGATCTTTCATTGGCCGCGCTCCTCGATGCCGCGTCCTATTCTGCTAACTCGCTAACCGTCCGTTACTTTGTCCGTCTGTTTGTCCGGCGACGACGGGATGAAGAAGGAGACCACCGGAAATGCCGCGATATGCTCAGCGGAGCGGGGACGAAACGCGCGAGCGCATGTCGCTCTTCCTCTCTCGCTCTCCTTTGTCTCTCTCTCTCTCTCTCTCTCTCTCCTCTACCTCTGTGCAGATTTATTTAAACTTTTACAACCAATTTCGGATCCTCCTGCGGTAATTCGCGCCGCAGGTTACGCCCACGTGCTGTTTACGTAACTCGCGGGAATTTTTCATGCATTCGTGCGCGCGACGTGTTCTACACGTGTTCTCCGCGCGGGCGTTTTTACATGGAATACATGAATATTGAATATTTAAATAGCGAGCGTTTTTGCGGAGTAAAATTATTAGCGCGTCGGGACACACGAGGCTCTCTTTTTCTCTCTCTCTCTCTCTCTCTCTCTCTTTTTTGTTCACGAGACTGCTCGAGGTTGGCGCTCGTAGACGTCGCCGCTTCGCGTGAAAATTTCGTCTCAGCGCCTTTGTATCCACGGTCGTGTGCGCGGTATCTTTTCGTGTCACGGTTGACCGTGATAACGGCGAATTATTGATCCGCCGCGCGGTCGATGTTGAGTTTTCAATCACACGTATTTTCGAAGGACGACCAAAGGTCACCACACTCGGACTTGCTCGAATAATCGCGCGCGCGTCGAGTACGTAAACACCCGTTAATGCGAAACATCGAACATTTTTTTGATAATCTCCTCGTGAGCGAGAGCCGCACCGAAAACGAATCGAACGCCGACGAAAATTTGCCTCGTATTTCTCGCTCACACTCGCCGTTCGCCGTTTGTTCGCTCAGTGTACACGCACCTTCAAGCGTCGTCTACAAAAGCAGTAAGAAGTAAGCGTGAGCAGATAAAGGCCAAAACACAGAAATGAACGTAAGCAGTAAGACGTAAGGAGTAAAGAAACTGACCAATCACAATCAGTTATTCTCGTAAGTTTTAAAATGGCATCCTTAAGTTTCGATTGTGACTGGTCGATTTGCTTACTGCTTACGTCTTACTGCTTAAGTTCGTTTGTGTGTGCTGGCCTTAAGAAATGGACCCACCACAGTTGATTATTTTTGTCATAATCTGTGACTGTGATTGCTTGATTTCTTACCGCTTACGCTTACTTCTTACCGCTTACTGCCATTGTAGACGACGCTTTACGCATCGGCCGACGAGGGACGGATTCCCAACGCGCGTCGCGTTTGTCGGCATATCGCTGTGCGAAAGAAGCGTTAATCTTATTTCCCGTCAGGATTGCGCCGGCGCTTTTATTAACCTCCACGCGAAACTCGCTTTAACACGGGTATCGTGAGAGAGACTTATTAACTCCGACCCCGTAACAGCGCGGAAAGATAAACGCGCGCGAGCGCCGGCTGTGAACGTCCGCGTTACACGCCGTAAAGTTCTTTCCGTTCGCCGATTACATTGCGACAAGCGCGCGCGACGAGACGGTAGCAGGGCGCCAGGGCGCCAGGGCGCAGGGCCCGGGAAAACGAGGTCGGCTGGTCGAAGGCAGGGGCAGGGGGGAATGCGCTCTTTCTCCGCTTCATTCCGCGGCCGTGCTCCCGAAAAAGAAGCCCTTTCATCGTCCCGCTAACGAGAGAGTGCTGTCTCTCCGGAGCGGAGCGAGCTTCTTCTCGCTAAGTCTCGTCGGCCTGGCGATCTGGCCGGCCTGAGCGGCCCGAGAGAAGGATGTAAGCCTTCTCGCATCGCTAATTCGCCGCGGACGGTAAACCCGCTCGCTCGCGTTATTGAGAATCCGGCATCCGAAAGAGGTGCGCAGGGTCGGGGGGGGGGGCGAAGTGTATAAAGTGTCCTACATCCGAGGCACTCGACCTCGACGGCGCCCCGCGTGTTTCGTACGTTCCGCGTAGGAGCGACGCCCAACATCCATCACTCTTTCCGCGACGGAACGATATCTCGACGAGGGATGGGAGGGGGGAGAGGAAGGAGCGAAATAAATTGCCTTCAAGTGGCTGCGCCGTTCCGGGCAGCAGCGTGCACACCGGCGTGTGTACGTACGCCCGACGTTACCGCGAAAGCGCCGAGGGGGCCGAACGGTTTGAGCGATAGTCGCGCGAGAACTCGAATGTTTAGAACTCTCTCTCTCTCTCTCTCTCTCTCTCGCGCGCCCCGCGAAACGTGTATTTAGGTTGCTCCATTATCGCGCCGCTTCGAGAGGCGGCGCGTTTCCGCGTAAATCGCCGTTTCCCCTCGTTTCAATTTCAATCCGACCGCCGAGTCGACGGCGCGGCGGCGGCGCCGCCTTCTTTTCAATCACGCAGGGGGGGGGGGTAGGAAAGAAATTGATAGCGCGGCGATGCTCAGGCGAGGGGGGGCAGGTGAAAATACTCAAAGGTCGAGAGCCAATTATTCTTGCGCTCGTTTATCGACGAGTGGATTTTCCTTTCACGTGTGATTAGTCACTCGGACGTAAATAGATGGGGGGGGGCCCTCCGTTCCCTCGAGCGGCCGCACGAGCGACCGTGCGAGTTCTCAACTTTCGACGAGAAGCGGACGGAGAAGCTCCGCGGATGGCTGCAAATTGGGAACATATCGTTGGCTCCGCTCGTTGGCTTCCGAGACAAATGTTTTTCCCTTGGGATTGTATGGAATGTGCGAATGGTGGCGGCGGCGGCGGCGGCGGCGGCGACAACGGGGTGCGAGCTTTCTCTCCGATGCATGTAACGTGTGTATTGAATAGATTCGTTGGCGCGAAACTCCGTAACTCATTTCGCCAGGTGCGGCGTGTATGTTCTTTTATCTTGTAATTTACTTGGACCTTCGGACGCCTCTCACCCTATTTATCTGCGGCAGCCGTGCACCTTCGGCCGGAAAATCGGATTTCGGAAATCCGACGTACTGGAGCGGGCTGCGCGCCTCGAAAATCACCGCGCCGGAAATGACGCGATTCGCAGGTACGTCGCGAAGTTCTCTGCCGCGTATTAACACGCATTCGCCTCGCTACAATGTGGCGCGTATAACGGGAATGATGTTTTTCTTCGAGATTACGCCGCGTGAATTAGTTATCATTTCCAACATTGCCGTGCTGCACGGCGTCTAATGATGCATCGCGCGCGCTAGCGAGAAAGGGAGGACGGAGAGAGAGGAGACAGAGAGAGAGAGAGAGAGAGAGAGAGAGAGAGAGAGAGAGAGCACTCACGGACCGCTCGAGGCGGACTAAACGTTACGTTTCACACGCGCTATTATCGCAGCCGCATCAGCGTGAAATTTCTTAAATCATTCCGAATGTACCGCGTGAAATGTGGATTAATCGCTGGAATTAAGAAGCGCGCTTTACCGCTGTAATTACTTGAACCGCGGGAACAGATGGCCATTAGTCTGAGGTTCCACGAATTATGTCCGCTCGTTGATCACGTTTTTGGTGCAGGCCGCACTGCTAGAAACGTTATTCTTCCCGTGTACGCGCCCCGTTTATGCCTCGCTCGGTAATTTATTTCGTAACGTCTTACTCGTAACGGATCGTTTTTCTCCGAAAGTCGCGGAAGTCACGTGAAGCAACGAATTATTGCATTTCTAAGCGCTTTTGAAAAAGGGAGAAGCGCGCGCGCGCGGTCATGCCCCGAGCATCGCAGGGGGCC